TGAAAACTTGGCTCTGGGGCCTGGCGCAATGGCTTAGCCTTTAAGAGCACTGGCTGCTCTTGCAGAGGGCCCAAGTTCAATTCCCAGCACCCACATGGCAGCTAATTACCATCTATAACTCCAGTTCTAGGGGCTCCAGTGCCTTCTTCTGGCCTCCATGGGCATTTGTACATGACTTACATACTTTTAGGCAAAGCACTCATATGCATTAAACTGAAAAAAAAAATAATTCAAAAAGACTTAAAAGCTTGGCTATGTTGTAAACAACAGTGTTAACTGGTGCTGTAAGTACTGATGCTTACAAAGTTGTAGGAGACTCATCAGAAGAATTTTATAAATCTTTTCTGTTTGCTAAGTCTGCCTGCATTTATGTATTCCTTTAGGAAACTATTGCTCTGCTCACAGTTTTAGTCATGAGGAACTTTTGAGTAGGATATAAAATTGATTGCTTGTGCCAGTGCTTATCGTTAAGTCTAGAATTGAGTCTTAGTGTCTTTTCAGAGGACTTGGCCTATGCACAGGGAGTCATGCTAAGATAGTTGCAATAATGTGATGCCAGGAACTGGTGATTTATTCAGAACTTTGTAACTTAAGGTGCAATAACTTTGTTTGAAATTTTAAAACTTTTATTCTCCTCAAACAAAATACAAAACAATGTAGAATAGATAGACACAAAGCAGGAAGTGGAGAGATGGCTCAGGGGTTAAGAGCACTGGCTGCTCTTGCAAAGGACCCGGATTTGAATACCAGCACCCACATGGTGGCTAACAACCATCTGTAACCCAGTTCCAGGGGATCCCACGTCGTCTTCTGACCTCCGTGGGCATTGCACGACACGGGTGCACTTACATACATGTAGGCAATACACTCATACACATTAAAAAAAATACAAACATAGACACCAAGCTTGAGGATGATTAAAATAAATGAAATTTAAATACCCTGGCAATTTGATACCTACTATTTTATTTAAAAACAGTAAGTTCTTCAATAGTATCTGTTTGACAAATTTTACTTTGTTTTGTTTTTGTTGGTTTCTTGGAGACAGTGTCTCCCCTGTAGTCTCAGTTGACCTGGAACTTACTTTGTAGACGAGGCTGATCTCGATCTCACAGAGGTGCTCTTGCCTCTGCTTACCAAGTGCTAGGATTAAAAGTGTGTGCTGCCATTCCTGACTTGACAAATTTTAATACATTAATGTGAAAACTAAAATTTTTTTAGAAATATGTTTAATAAAATAGGTGGATTTTTTTTACTTCTTGAATACATTGCTAAAATTAGGAGTTGTTAAGCCTCAATTTAGTTGTTTTATTTGTTTCTATTAACACCAAGAAAGTCATTTTTATAAAGAAGACAAAAATGAAGGAAATCTTACTATGGTTAAGTCCTTAGTATCTATGTGTTCCTGTCACTGAAAGTAGCTGTTGCATGAGTCCAGAGTAAAGAGTCTCCAGGCGCCCGCCCGCCTGCCTGCCATTCCCCTTCCTGAGCTGGTAGCTGATGTGGCACTGTGTCTTCTCTCGCCTGTATAAGTTGGAAGTGACACGCTAGTTTATTTATACATTTTAGTTGGTATCTCTGAACGGTAAGATGCTTTTTCAAAAGGACCATTGTAATACTACTGTCTCACCTCTATTAAGAGGTACTAAGTCTTTTTAAAACTAAATACCACAGTATTCAGCTTTTCTGGGTTACGTCAAGTCTCTCATAATCATATTTGTTTTGTCCTCTTTCCTTTTCTTCCAAAGGTTACGTCCTAACCACTCTGCATATTGGTGAATTAGCATTTGTCTAATAATCGTATATTTTTCTACTAGTAAATTTTTTTGGAAGTATATTGACTTTGAAAACTAGTGTAGGTATTTTTACCCTCATTTGTGTTCAACTGCAAAGCAGGTATGTAGGCAAACTGTATGGTTTGAATTGCTGAGCTATGAACTGAGGCAGGAAGGGAAGCACTTGATGGTCTCAGTTGGATCTTGTCATGCTTTAGAGCAGGGTCAATTAATAACACATTTGTGACTCACAGTAAAACTGAGTAGACCTCAGTGATGTGTGAATGGAACAAAGAATTAATTTGGTTGTCCCCCCACCCCATTACATTTAACTTTGTTTGTTGTATGTTAATATAAGCTAAAGGAGTCCTGTTTCTCATGTTGTAAATACTAACAAATGTAGGGATTAACAAATGGTACACTTAAGAAGTATATTTGCCACCCTAAATTATCCTGGCTCTTTTAGTTTGGCTTCTTTAATCTTTTCAGTTTTTGTGTTCATCTGCTTTACAGGCCATGTTTTGTTGTTTTTAACCTACAGATGGTAATTGAACTTAAAAATAACCACCAGTAGATGGTAGTCTTGGCCTTTTATAGTGATTTCAATTCTAATCTCTTCAAGTTACCATTCTAGACAGTCACGGAGCCATCAACAGATAGTCAGTTGTTAATAATTACTATGTTGTAGACAATTCTGTAGTTAATAAATATCTAAAAAGTTGGGAGTTATCCAAAAAATACTTCAGTTTTTTTTCCCCTTTGGTTGTCCCTAGCTAATTTTTGGAGCAATGTCTGATACTGTTTTATATAAAAATGCTTACTCTGTAATATGTAAAACTTTTCCCCAAAATCAGTATATAAAAATTCATTCTTAGAATTTAAAATGAGTTTCTCTATTTCCTTAAAAACAGAAATAAACCTGCAGCTTCTAAGAAGCCCACATGTGGCCCCGTGTCCTTTCCTGTGTACCTGTAGCATTTGGAATAATTGGCTGGTACTCTTGTGTATGTGGATGGGCTGCCTGGTTTCAGCTACATTTGTAGAGGTCCACTTTTACAGAAAGTTATTGCCGGGAAGATCTTAACCTCACATCATTGCACAACATGGGTATATTTACACACATGCAGGCAAGGCACTCATACACATAAAATTAAAAAAAAAATAGTAAATTAAAAAAAGAAAAGAAGTACCTCATATCTCCTAGCAAAGTCTGAATGTTGGACAGACACCAGAAACCTGACTTTTAGGTCTTATTCATGTCTATTTTGTGTGCCTCCCGTGAACACAAAAATACCTACTTAATATTTTGGAAATTGTAGCAGAACTGAAGAATGTCTGTGCTGGAGGGGAATGAGCAAATGAAGTGGGAAGTCCCGACAGCAGCACTTACACTTTGCTTTCTTTACAGATAACATTATATTTCTGAGTGACCAGACAAGAGAGAAGGCATAGAGCGGATGGCCCTTCTTTGACCGTTCTTTGGTACCATCTCCTTTCCAAATCATGTATAGTCTATAGTTTCCAAAGATGAAGATTAAAGTTTTTATATAAAATGAGTGAGAATATTTTTCCTGACAAACCTTCTCGCCGTTTTTTTGTGGAATAAGCTTCTGTTTATCCTGTGGGTCATGACGCTTACTAGTTGTTGGGTTTCTTTGTACAGGTCTACAAATAGTGAAATTTGGTTCCTCCGTCTGTGCCGTAGCCTGGGGTAGAAGCTGTGTGGGAGGCTCTTTTTTACTGGATGCTTCTGTTTAGCTGTTGATTCATTTGTTCGTTATTTTCGAACATTCCTCTATGTTAGGAGTTTATCCTATGATTTAAGACAATCAAAACCTTGATTGTTTTATCTTTGCTCTATAGACTTGGTGGTGAGTACTGACTGTTCTCTGTGTACCTACACCTTAGCTAGTATTTGGCACAGAAGAGCGGCTCTGTAAATGCTGAGCGATGAACAATCTCTGTGGGATTTTGAGTTTTAGTCAAAACTGAAGGTGGTTGCTGAGCAGTGCTTTGTGTCCAGTCTGAACTGCTTCAGGATTAGCCCACCTTCATGTCTGGTTTTTAGATCGTTGCTGTGGCATTTTTGAGTGCTGCTTTGCCAGCTCTAAGGAACTGAAGTAGAGCTGGAGAAGCAGGTTCCTCTCCCTGTCCTCTCGTTCCATTAATCTCCATCTCACCGGCCCCCCTTTGCTGTCCTTTTCAAAGTTTAATCCAGAACACTGAGGGTGGGGGTGAGGGTCTTTTGTGGTGCTGGGGATCAAACCTGGTACCTCTAGTTAGGCAGTCAGGCACTCTGTGCCTGAGCTACACCTACCCCAAAGATCCCTTTAATATTTTGACATGACTCCATAGACAACCTGTGTATGTACAGTTAATTTTGTTGTAACATTGCTGGTCTTTACCAATAAAAGTTTTATAAACTTAGTTTCTTTTTTTTTTTTTATTTTGGATTTTTTTTAACTTTATAAAAAAAATACTTTGAGAATTTCAAACATGCATATAAGGTGTTTTGATCAAATCCATGCTCACTCCCTCCCCTCCAACTCTTTCTATATCTCCCCATCACTTTTTCTGAAAACTTTGTGTACCCTCCCTTCCTCCCCTCCTTCTTTCCTTCTTTATGGGGCCTTTTGCTACTCTAACATTCCTCCCTCTGAAGAGGTAACCCTAAAATCTTTTAGGGATTATTAAGAGCTCCCAAATACTTTTGACATTTTGGGCCTTTGGCACATACATAGTATGTTGCTAAGAGGCCCATGGACATTTTGACTTTTAGCCAAGAAACTGGCTACTTTTCTTTGGGGTCTTTTTACCCTAACTGCCTAGCCAGTTCCTACTTCCTACTTTTATCACACCATCCTCTGAAGAGGTTACCCAAATTACTGATAGAGAATCGGGATGCAGACTACTCTGGCTTCTTCCATGCTGAACAGGGATGTGGGATGAGGCAATTGGGGTACCCTTTCAGTGGGTCTATCTAAGGCTCCCAAATTGCATAACCTTTATCTATAGGGAGAAAAGAAAGTCCTTGACTGGTGAGTAGGGAATGTGAAGGAGAAGTAAAAGCAAGAGTAGTTAGCATTACAAGTTCTAGACAGGGAACCAGAAAAAAGAACAGGGCAAATTTCAAATGTTCATATGAGAGTCCATTGGGATTTCTTGACGATAGCTTTCAAAAGCATCTCTCTATTGGGTTTCTCGTCTTTTTTCTTTTGTCTTCCAAGGCTGGACTCTAGAGTGATGGATTCAGGATTTGCTTTCAGGTATTTTGATAGCTGTTGGAGTGGCTAGAATCTGTCAGTTCCCTCTCAAAGGCTTCTAGATAGGGGGAGAAAACAAATTTACCCATCATTTTAGAACAATAGCTGGTTGTCTCCCTAGCTACAGGTGGACACTACAGTATTGCAGATCAAGATTTGAAGTCTTATATTTGAGCAGCACTTTCTGCTTAGAATCATCAATGAGAAATAATTGTCTAAATAACATTTTATATGGACTTAAGCCTAATGTCTGGGAAGTGTAATCCCTTGACCTCTTAAAGAAATATGTTGATCACTTTACTCTTTGGTTATACTTTCCTTTTGGGTGTTGAAGACCATACGGTTGGCCCAAATAAACCAATTTATTTTTACACTTCAGGTCCTACTCGACCGTGGCTGGCTTCCCTTGGAAGCCTGGAGGAGATGTTTCCTCTGAGTTGACCCTCCTCTTTGTAGACTGGACACTGGTTCATAAACTTAGTTTCTTAATCTTTTGTCTTAAAGTTTATATCCGTCGTCCCCAGGTCTGCCTGCAGCTTTCCAGGAAGTTGGCTAGGGCTGAGTGTATTGCTTTCTTCAGGTGTAAGGAGTCCCTCATTCTGTCTCTTCCACTCTGTTCCCACAGTGCTCCCAGCCCTGAGTATGGATTTGTTCTCCTTTACCGTGAGAGTACGGTGCTAAGATTGTGTTGGACTGTAACAAGGTCATAGGCTGTATTATGGACCCTTGACTTTTTCAAAGCAGTTCCTGTGTACATGAACAGCTTTTTTATACCGATGGTGCAGTTGGGTTGAAGGAAGATGGGATTCCTTAGCTTTATCCTGTCTCTGCCCAGGGATAGTAGAAAATTGCTATTCTCTTCTGTCTGCCTTTCTTTCTGCAGCTGGGACCACTAATCATCATATTAGATCTGTGTGTTCACACATGGAATCTGGTGATATAGTCCTCATTCATTTACGCTACATTATTACTTAAGCAGAATAAAGTAGATAAGTTTGTCTTTTGAGCAACTCTTTTTATGTCTTTCCTCAACAAAGCAGTTTTTATATTCCCTAAACATGAGACACTATGCATGTCAGCATTCATATTTAAACAAGGTGAAAATGGAAAACTTGTAGGTGAACAAGAGCTTGGTTACTAACCCAAGTTCTTTCCGAGTCCAGGATGCAGGCGCACACTAGTGCGTGTAGGATCATCTCAGAGCTCCGGGGCTGTTCTCCCTTGGAGGTTGCCTGTTCTCTCTCTCTGACTCTGGAGAGCTGTGAGGCAGCAGCAGCAGCAGCACTTTCAGTCAGGCTGAGTCTTTTGCCTTTCTAGTGATTTTGGCAGGCTTAGTGGCCCCAAGCTAGCCAGACTTACTGGGGCATCATCTCCAGCAGCCCAAAAAGCAGGCAGGACCAGGTATTGAATAGACTTGAGGGATCTACTAGTTCTAAGAGATGGTAGGTGACTTCTAATTCAAGTTTTGGATCTTGTTTGTCTTTTTGATGTGATTGTGTCAGGGCATAAATCTGCAGAAAGCTGCCCTGTGACTTTGGTTTGGGACTATTCCATAGAAAAGCAGAAGAAAAAGTATCAAGCAGCGATTGTGATATTCTCCCCTTTTTGAAAAGTAATGGTGGATGTGCTTTTTTAAAGTCTGGAAGAAGCATCCAGTGGTCCCAGTTGTCTCCATAGGATATTGTGTGTAATCTAACTAACTTCTTTATACTTTGTGTGCATTTTTAATAACGTGAGCTTGTATTCTAAAAGGAAAAAACAAAACAAAACTAACAAATCTAACTCTGCTCATCCTGCAACCAGTACTGCTTCCTGTGCTGGGGCTCAAGAGGCATTGCCTTTCCCAGCCTCTGCCTTTTAGCATCTTATGCTTGTGTACTTTGTCTCCATTCACCACTTAGTAACATGCACAGGCTCTGAAGGATGACCCCTAAAGACCAGCCAGCATGAGAGCCACTGTTTCCTGCCATTACAATTTCCAGCCATTCCCTTGTCACATCCTGTCACTCATGACTAATTTACACATCCTCAAACACCATGCACATTTTTCGGAGGCTGATTGGGAAATGCAGGTGTTTAGGAAGATTGCATGTTGTTGCCAACCACTACCTTTACAGCTGAGTATGAAAAATTATTGGGAGGCTTCCCTTTGTCTTCAAAGAGACAATGAATGTAACTCCTGAGGCAGGTTATCCTTTGTCCCCATAGGGCTCCGCTGGCACAGTGACATTACAGGAGTTCACAAATGTTAGTTGTTCAGTTGGCATAGACCAAAACGTCGATAGGAAAATTAGAGCAGGATCATTTAACTTATTTTCTTTCAGGATTTGCATCATATGCTGTGAAGACTGGTGGGAGTCACAGCAAAGGAGCAGGAATCCGAGGTCAGCAACTTACAGGAAATTGCTAGTGAGTTAATGATCATATTGAGTAACACATGTGTCCTTCCTACAAGTCAGGGACTACCTTTTTATCATTGTTTCATTTAACTGTTAACCTAAGAAGAAGGTACCAACGTTACACTTTACAGAGGAAATCCAGAACCAGTGAGAGGTTAAAACTTGTCAGAGTCACACAGCTGGAGTTTGAGCTTGGGTATGTGGCCTTTGTGTAGCTGCCTGCTCAGTGCCTGCTGCTGTCTGCATTCATAGTCCGCCAGCTGTATGTGTCCCCCTTCTCCCACTGCTAAACTGGAGTGTCCCACACAAGGTCCTTTCTAACATAGTAGGAAGAGATCATAGGTTTCTAGGGAGAGAATTAGAAGAAGTCCCTCTGGTTCCCCTTTCCCCCTTATAGCCAGCTGTCAGAGTGTAAGTCACAGTTTCTCTTCCAGGCTATCCCTACAGACATTCCTCTTGCTTTCCTTACATCAAGCAGTGACTCTACTACTCACTTCATGGTGGCTGCTGGATGCATTGTTGATGTATTGAGAATCGAAATTGTCAAGAATATCCAGGATGTGTTTGAACTCACTTTAGAGGAGAACTTTGATGTCAATAGCATTGATTCCTTCTCGCTGTCTGAATTTGCCTCTTTGCCGGCCTCAGTTTCCACATCCTAGGACCATGGGTGGCTTCTTTGACTGTCAGTGTCAGCCACACTAGTGAAGCATCATCTTTGTTCTTTCATTTTCCAGTCATTTACTCGCTTCCGTTTTGGACCTTGGAGTCTTATTTTGCTGTAAAGGTGTCCATTTCTATGGTCTGTGGTAAGGCTATGTGGTCAAACACCATAGATCACCTTACCAGCCGAATGCTCCTTAGTAAGGTACTTAATTTTCTCTGCCTTAGATT